AATAAGGCCCCCTGAAGCTACTATAGCCACCGCACAGCTCACTGTTGGCCGCAGCACAGCTGGAGCAGACAGAAAGTGCGAGGTCTCTCTTAATAAAACAATAAATGTGTACCATATTCTTCTTCATGGAATAATAAGACATCCCCTAAAAATAAGACCTAGCGCATCTTTGAGAGCAAAAATTAATATAAGACACTGTCTTATTTTCCGGGAAACAAGAACAGAAAGAAAGACCTCATCACTTGCTATGTAGGGAACCTCTTGCTGACCAGTATCCTGTCTGATGGCTTAATTTGCAAGCACCTTTATCACTTCTCTACTCAGGTATTTCAGCCACCTCTTTTCACCCAGTATATTAGCGCACACCTTTCCCTCTTCGGTCAGTGTGTTATTAGACACATTAACAGACACATGAGCTGTGTAAGCATGTGGCACTGCGTTGTAAATGTCTAACAAATGGATATTTATGTACAATTAGTAAGTCATCACTTTTGGACTATTTTGTTTTCAGGCTGAGGTTGATAAAAACATAGAACTTTTGAAAAAGAAGGATGAAGAACTCAGCTCTGCCCTGGAAAAAATGGAAAATCAGTCTGAAAACAATGATATTGATGAAGTTATCATCCCCACAGCCCCACTCTACAAACAGATCCTGAATTTGTATGCAGAGGAAAATGCTATTGAAGACACCATCTTTTACCTGGGAGAGGCCTTGCGGCGGGGAGTAATAGACCTGGATGTCTTCTTGAAGGTATGTCATCCTCTCTGCTTTCCAAGATTTTGGAACCTGTACTAAAAGAGGCTTTGACCTTGAAGACCATGGCCAGGTGGGTTGCTCTGTATGCTGGCTGAGATTCCTTGTCTTCCCAAAAGAGAGCTCATGAGATGTCGCTTTGAGCAGTCTCTTTCCATCCACTGAATGCATGGAATTGTCTTGAGTAGGGCAAGGAAACTAAGTTGATGGCTGCTGCCTCCCCTCCCATCAGGCAGCATCAAGATGGATGTAATTCTTATGTGTTACTGCTGTGCCTGAGCAGGTCAGGAGGCACAATCAGATATCATTGCTTCTTTTAGGCGATACCACTTATAGTAAATTGAGATCACCAACTATCCCACTTCCATTATTTGTCTGTTCATTTTCTTAGTTTCATCATTTTAGACCATTTTCCCCAGACAAACAGGATCCAGTAAGCCCACTATGGCTACTGCTGTGTGGTGATTGTGGAGAACGTGGATTTAAGCCTAATAGCCTGTGGAATCTTGTCCCAACCTCTGCTGTTCCCACATTGTACGTGCTTGGCTGGGCAGGATGCTGAGCCAATCTCACTCTGGGCGAGTGGCCAAACCACACACCTTGGACCCAGTACAAGCACACGGATGGCTGGCTACAAACCAGACTTAGAATCTAAGTCCCTTCCAGTACATTGTCCCTTTCAGTGGGTGGCACAGCTTAGGGAAGGCTATACTTAAAGATGCTAGAGAGGAGAAGAATTAACATTTCCCATTTGCATGGCATCAGACTAAAGACAAAAGTTATCCCTTTCTGCATCCAAACGTGTCCCCCTCTTTAAAACAAATGAGTTCTAAACAGCCAGGATTATCAAAATGTGGGGAGTTTGGAAAAGGCTCTCTGGGTAATTTTTGTTAAAATCACCATGTAAGTTTTCTTGGCATCTTGGTTGTCTCAAGAAGTAGCTAAAATGCCTGAGCCAGATCCTACAATGTGGCGCTTTCCCCAAGAGTAAGCCTTTCTCGGGTCTCGGAAGACTACTTGCTACCACAGTCAAGCCAGCATCTACCCGCAGAATTCAAGAAACTGTGTTTAATGTGGCGTTGGTTCTAAAGGAAGGTTAATAGGAATCAAAGTTTAGGGTCCTTCAGCTAAGTTAAACTTGTCTGCTACTGAATGCTTGGGCCTGCATTGAAGCCTTTCTAAACTGTTGACATTTCCCCCCTCCTAGCATGTACGTCTTCTGTCCCGTAAACAGTTCCAGCTGAGGGCTCTAATGCAGAAAGCAAGGAAGACCGCCGGGCTCAGTGACCTCTACTGACTTCTCCGAGATCAGCGAGATTGAACTCTTCTGAAAGCATTCTTTTCTTCTCTTCCTTTCTTTTATCAGTAGGTACACTGACTAAGTTATTGCAGTATATCATTCAAGTGTAAAATATTTTGAATCAATAATATATTTTCTGTTTTCTTTTGGTAAAAGACTGGCTTTTATTAATGCACTTTCTATTCTCTGTAAACTCTTTGTGCTGAATGTTGGGACTGACTATGCTAAATAAAATTTGTTGCATAATTTTTCTCTTCTTTTTGGAATCCTTTAGGAAGAATCCTTGAAGCTTTTCTAAAATGCATAGCTTTCAATTTAGCATGATGTTCATTTTAGTGTTATTTACTTCAGCGCATATAAAGTGAATTCTGTTTAACTTGCTTCAGAATGAGCTTGCTGGCAGAAAGGGTTGTCCTTTCTGCCACACAGGTGAGGAACCCTGGAGGTACAGGGATTGCTAAAAGAATGTCCTGGAAGCACAGGTAATACATCTGGAAGATGGTGTGTGTACAACAAATAAAGGGGCAGTTGTGAGAGGAGAGTTTGGAACAAAACAAACAATTGTGCACATGTGGCCTCCCTGCTCTTGTCCTCATTGGGATTCTGTCGTATGCAAGCACCTCCGGTTCATGAGGGTACAAAGAAAACACTGTGATTTGAGGGGATATGTCCTGAAGATAGCAGTGAGTCCAATCTCTCACGCCATGCCTCGCCTGGGAAAAGAACGACCAACTGTGGTCCACTCATCACAATTAGGCCTTCCTATAAAGGGCAAGATCTATTCACAGAAATTAAATCAGAACAAAAAGTAGCAAGGTCAAACCAAGGTTTTTATTTAGTATTAGGATTAGAACTAATTATTTTTATATACATAGCTTTCACTTATACATTGAATAAGTTATAACCACTTTTTAACAGTATATAAATGAACCTAGGTATAATAAGGTAGCCAGAACTAAAGAAATAGCATGTCCTTGGCAAAAATAAAAAACCAATTTCTCTAACACAGTAAACATAGATGTCATACATTCCTTTGGACCACCTGGCTACATAGAGTCATGGGAGCTGATGGTGCAGCATGGGTAACAATACCGCCTCTATGCAAGCCCGTTAATGTCTAGCATCTGAGAGAAAGGGAGGGTTAAATTAACAGTGGAGTCACACTATCCTTTTCTATTTCCAACTTTTAGGAATTAAGATTTCTTCAAAAGTTTGGCATATATTATCCTATAATAATTATTTTTTCTTTAAAAGCTGGAGGGGATTGGATTGGTCAACTTTAAAGTTTGAGCTCCTTCTGAATTCCCCAAAGTGTGTCTGCACTCTTCTTTAAATGGGCCTCTTCTTCAGGAGTCAGGTTTACACTGATAACGTCCGTGATGCCATTCTGTCCCAAGACACAAGGAACACTGAGGAATACTTCTTCCTTTATTCCATAGAGGTCCTGAAAATAAAGGCTTCCATTTATTTTCTATAACAAAAGTCTGCAAACTGAGACTCTGCCATTACAGGGTGCATGGATGTTTAATAGATTTGCTTGTCTAGATAGTGGCAGAGAAATAGAGCACCAAGCAGAACAATTTATTGAGAATAAAACATTATTAGACTGATTGATTGTTCAGATTCTCAGCTGAGCTCCCCACGTAGGCCCCAGCCTCTTGCCATGTTTATGGGGGCCACCATCATTATCCTCTCTCCTTGCCCCAGAATGACCTTCTATTAGCACCATCATTTCTGTTAACCCCAATGATGCAGCGCCATCTTGGTCTAACCTCTCCTGTTCCGGAACAGGGATACACAGTGGCTGTAGCCCTGGGTTCGAAACAGCAATTGTTCAGAATGGCACAGAGCCTCTTCTGTTGTACACAGGGTCACTGGAACTAGCACCTCAATAGCACCTGAAAACCAGAGCCACATGCAGACTGCATTCCTGTCTCACCCAGGAGACTCTGGAATACTTTCTTGACTCTAGGACCTCTTCCCAAGTCTAACACTGGTGTGTTAGAGAACTCAAAATATAGGCAGTGAAAAGTCCCTACTCAGTGATTCCATGGGAACTTCGAAATTTCATGGGAAAATTCTTTTGTCATTCCATTTACCCCCACACTTTTTCAAGCCCCCGCATATTTTTTATAGTCAGTTCACTCCAAAAGGCATCGAGCAGACTTTAACTGAATACAATAAGGACCGGTCACAGGCCTGCAGAGTTACAACTCCTCAGCACATGAAGGGACGTGCTTCCAAAAGATCAACCTCAAAAATGAAGCTTTGGTCGATGTTACTTATTTTTGTTAAAGTTAAATAATGACTTTTAAACATAAACATCTACCTTAATTATGGTGGAAACTGGATGCACTCTCCTAAGATTCTTCAAAATGCTTTCCACTAAATCAGCTACAGACAGGCCAATGGCCCAAGAAGTATAACCTTTCCTTTTAATAATATCATAGGCACTGTGGAATTAGAAATCATGAACATTAGTTTGGAAGAAATATTTAGCATTGAGCATCCATTTTATGACAACTTAACTGGTAATGTCACAAAATTGTTTCCAGCAATAACTTTTCTTAGAAACTTCTTAAAGGAATTAGTTATTGAAGATAAGCATTAGAATTAGGAGGTTATGTATAGAGATCTAGAATTTCGTATGACATCAATCCCACCACTAGAAGTAAAGACATAGTAGCTAGCTATCAGCCTATCAGTTGAGTGCTTGCAATGTGCTAGAGCCTGCGTTAGGCTCAGCAGTAGTAAAAAGAGATGCAGTTCCTGGCTGCTTAAAAATACAATATGCTCTGCAAAATGAATAACAACATAATAGCACAAAAGATAGAAGCTGGAGGAGGGAGCACTAGAACTGATTGTGATTTCACAACTCATTTTAAAGACGATTTAACCTTGGGGGCGGGGGTGGGGGGGAGAGAATGTGGTTGGTGGTGATTATACAATTCTCCTTGATAGAACGGTTGACCTCTTCGGTAGTATGATCTGTAAATTGTGCCACTAAAACCGTTGGGGAAAATAAACTGCAGAGATGGGCAGCTGACCAGGGGAAGCAGCCCAGGAGCAGAAGCACTTCAGTGCAGGCTTGCTCCTCCACGCAGGGCAGGCGACTGGTTCTCGAATTCTGAGGTGTGCTGCAGACCAGCAGGGCTTCTTAATCTGGTCATTTTGAGGATTAGTCATTTAATATTTAGTGCTCAGCATTTGTGATGAGCAAATTGCGATGTTGATTTTTGTTTTGTGTTGTTTAATGAGAAAGAGGGCATGGTAAGAACGAAAGGATGAGGAAGAGGAGCAGGGTTATGTCACAGGTTAATAGGCTTTCTTCAGTCCCAGTGCTGCGTCTTGATATAGTCCAGCTTCTGAGATTATTTGTTCAGCGTGAAGATGGAATAAGTATAGTGAAAGGCTACAGTCCTGATGCATCCTGATTCTAGATCACACATTCCTTTGTTCTATTCCAATGGCTGCCCCTTATCTATAACAGGTTACTCAAAAGCACAAGTGTTCTGGAATTTAGTCTTTGAAATGTAATAAACATATTTTTAGATCCACAAAAAAAAAAAAAGTTAAAGTGTGAATGAAAGAAAAGTATGAGCACTCTACCACTTGAAGGGCCTGATCTCATCCATTTGCCAGAATTCATACGACTAACTTCAAAAGCCATAAAAGTTGACTGACTACCTGGCAATCACTTCCTTATGGACATTGTTCCACCGCTCCTGGTCTTTTTCGGTTCCTAGATCAGAGTTCAGACTCTTCAAAGCGACACCAGCGATGTTCACCCCACTCCACACAGGAACTGAGAAAATTACCAGAAAGCATATTCACCACATGGCACTCTGTCATGGTCTTAACAAGATCTCAGCAGTTTTTAACTAGTATTCATCTTTGTTCTTGAATGTAGTCACTGAGTCAATTCCGGTGCAGTGTGACCCTGCCTTACAAGGTGGTCAAGGCTGTATTCCTTATGGAAGCAGAAGTCGCTGCTGGGTTTGAATCCCAGGCCTTTCAGTTAGCAGTGCTTAGCCACTGCACCACCAGAGCGCCTCAGTATTCAAACAGAACCAACAGTCAAATATCTGAGCTCCAGCCCAGATGTGCTAACTCACTATTGCTAGGAAAGGGCCCCAGAATTCTTTTTGCAGAGGTTTTTTGAACAAGAAAGTGGCTGTGTAACCTTTCAACTTAGAGATACATTTTACCACCTCAAGTCCTTTTCCAGCCTGGGTTTCTAGCAGGGCTGCAAAGGCACACCAGAAATGAGAAGAGGAACTGCCATCACCAAAGCAAGGAGCCCTGGTGGCAGTGAGTTGTCCATTGGGTTGCCAACACATGGTCACCATTGCATGTCCACCAGATGCTCCCAGAGAGAAAGATTAGGTTGGCACCATAATCATTTCATATAGGGTCGCCGTGAATTTGAATCCGCTCAATGAAAGTGGGATTATCACTGTAGCACCTTAATTTTTTCCAATTATGCCTGTACCTTATTCTGAACAATTCTTGTTCCTTGAATTACAATGCTGACCTTTCTGACTGAGAGAGTACCAAATTAACATAGACTGCTTTATTACTGCTTTGTATAAGCCTTAAATCATAACCATCCACAGGTAGGATTATAACATTCTCACTCTCTTCAAATTATTTTTGATAGATCATTTCATTATAAAAATAATAAATATGCTAAAATATCATAAAAGGCAGGTAGTCATGCCTAACAGGGCTCAGGGCTATTTCCCTTTGTAAGTGATCACTACAGTAAGCATAGGCTTCTGAACATGTCTCAGGCTTAATGATGCGTTTGGCTCACCGCTTGAGTCTCCATGCTCTCCAAGGATCCACCCGTGACAGCTTTCTGGGTGGATATCAAGTCTTTGCCCAATTAGGAAACGGAAACGGGCAGTGTCCAGATTACAGCCACTTCCAATGATACGGTTTTTGGGAAAGGCACTCAGCTTCCAGGTCACATACGTCAATATATCCACTAAGAAGAACACATTCGAGACATTGAAAGTTCTCATCAAAAGCCACACCTTTTTTAAAAAACTACCTAAATTAAAGCCAGTGAGTCAGGGTTTTTCTTATTTCTCGGGGGGAGAGGGGCACTGGTAATATATTCACCCCTAGCTGAACCACAACTCTTAAGAATATCTACCTCATAGGAATTAATGGTGAAAATGGTTAAATTTTTTTAACTTTCCATTTTATTGTACTTGTTTAAATCATTTTATTGGGGGCTCATACAACTCTTCACAATCTATACATCTATCCATTGTGTGAAGAACATTTGTATATTTGTTGCCATCATTCTCAAAACTTGCTTTCTGCTTGAGCCTTTGGTATCAGCTCTTCATTTTTTCCCCTCCCTCCCCGCTCCCTCCTCCCTCATGGACCCTTGATAGAAAGCTAACATTTTTAATGAGAATTAATGAAGGTGACCTTATATAAGGGTTTCCAAGACTAAATCTTTACAGCAAGTCTCATCCTGCAGAGTGGCTGGTGGATTTGAACTGCCTACTTTATAGTTAGTAGCTCAACAACTAACGCAGAGAGCTACCAGGAATTAAAATACCCAATGTTCTAAAGCTATCAATTCTCTATTAATCTACAGCCTACATGAAATCCCAGTTAAGGTAAAAATACGCCCCACTTGGATAGACGCTCAGAGGGAAGAATACACTGAAGGAAAAGGGCAAGCTCAAAATGCTACCAATCTTTTTAGTGACAGAGAGGAGATGTTGGTGGCTGCCGACGGTCGCGGGCTGGAGAAAGAGTTGTAGCTAACATGGGTTAATAGTCCAAGCACTTTTCTTGGTGGCGATGGAACAGTTCTGCATTCTGTATCCTGGATTTTGGTGATGGTTGTATAAGAGTATATGTGTGATACGATTTCACAGAGATACAAACACTTTATCAGTCTGAGTTGATTCCAATGTATGGCAAGCCCATGTGTGTCAGACATGAACTGTGTGTAATAGGGTGTTGTCCAGTTTGTTTGTTTCAGTAGATTGCTAAGCACATATGGGCAAACTCAAACTTCCGACCTTGTTTCAGCAGTTAGAAGCTAAGCTGCTTTGAAAAATTCTTGATTTGACGTGGGAGCCATGTAAATATTTTGTAAAATTACAAACTAAAACCATTCTTAAAGATCAAAATTAAAGTGAACAATTGGTGTACTCTGTTGTCTATGATTTCTTTTTTTAATCACACATCTTCCAAATGCTTTCAAATAATCTGACTGGTTATCCCAACCTAGATGTTCCATCTAGGCCCCAGTACCTGGCATAACATTTCCCCTCAACTGTCTTAGAAAACTCAAATTGGACATGTCCATAGTGGAACTTGTAATTTTCTCTTATTCCACCACCACGCCTACTTCCCTCACTGAGCATCCCACCTGCAAAGCACTCTAGATTGGAGAGTTCTCCAGGGTAGCAAGATGGCGTAAACATTCCCCCAACAACAAAAACCGAAACAAGTCTCAGAACTCAATACCAATCTAAGAGTTTCAGCATTTAAGCAACCACTGGGTCAAGGAAACCAATCCATTGCCATCAAGTAAATTCTGACTCAGATCAACTCTATGAGACAGAGTCTAACTGCCCCCTATGGGTTGGTTTTTGAGACAGACTTATTACAGAAGTAAACTTTTCTCCCACAGAGCCGCTGCTGGTCTCAAACTGCTGACCTTGTCTTCAGCAGCCCAAGGCATAAGCACTACACCACCAGGGCTTCTTAGAAATCCATTAGAGGATATTTAAAATAGAATACTAAATATATTCAAACTAAAGGGAATCAAGGAAATGATAGAGGAATCAAATGGGAATTTCCACTAAAAGAAACCATAAAGAACCACCACCGTTGAGTTTATGTCAATGGCAGAATAGTTTGGGAAAGGATATCAGTAGTGGCTGTACAGCACCAAAAAAATATAATCCTTGATACTGAATTACTAGCAGAAGTAGAATTGGAAAAATAATTGCCCCACGGCAGGGGAGGTTGGGGGGGAAATGGGGTGCTAACAACAGTGAGAGAAGAAAATGCTCTGAAATTGATAGTGGTGATGATTGCACAACTCTTCTTAATATGACTGAATGATTAAATTGTATGATACGTGAAGTATAGGCCAATAAAACGATTTAAAACAAAAAAGAACCAAAGAAATAAAAATACAATAAAACTAAAGAATTTATTGGAAGGGACTTAACAGCAGATTTGAATAGGCAGAATAAGATTGGTGAACTAGAAGCTATTAAGCATTTGAAATTACTGTATCAGAAGAGGAAGGGAAGAAAAAGGTAAGGGAAAATGAGCAATGCCTAATGGAATTGTGGGATTCCACCAAGCAAACTAACATGTATCATGCGAATCATAATGGAAGAAAGGACTGAAAGGCCTTGTAAGAGAGAGCTGAAACATCCCAGATTTGATGAAGATGAAGGATCTAGAAAGAAACTCAATCAACTCCACAAATAGGAAGAAAGACCAAAGATATCCACAAAAAGACACACAAGCAAACTGGTGAAATTAAGGATAGAGAATCCTTAAAGTATCAAGAGCAAAGCAAATTGCCACATCCAAGGAGTCTTCATAAGATTACGTGCTGATTTTGGATCAGAAACCAAGAAGACAAAAACTTGAATACAAAAAAGTTTTGAATGAAATATTTAACGTGCTGAAATAAAATGACAGTCGAACAGAATTCTAAATCCACCAAAACTGACCTTCCAGAGCAAGGGTGAAATCAAGGTATTGCCAGATAAGCAAGAGAATTGGCAAACCAAAAGTCTCCAATAAAAGGCGTTTTTTTTCATTGGCAAACCTTTAGCTACACCAACAAATCAAACACAGATACAAATAACTGAATCAGAAGTGAAAATGGGGGCATTATACTCACTGACACTACAGAAGCAAAAAGGGTCACCAAAGTACCAGAACAGTTGTGCAAATTAGATCAGTGGAGGAATTCTGATTCAATTTCCTCAGGGATCTCTTCGGATTTTTTCCCCTTGTGGCACTTCAGGAAGATTACAGCGGCATTTAGGAAAATAATCAATTGCCAAAAGAAAGAACATTTAAACACCCACAGCAATTGAGATTAAATCCGTAATCAGAAACCTCTCAAATGTCTTGGAACAGCTAGCTTCACTGGGGAATTTTATCATCCATTTAAACAGAAACTGTATCAACCTTCTTAAGCTCTTCCAGAATATAGAAAAGGAGAAAATGGGGATCCTTACTCATTCTGTAAAGGCAGCATTATCCTGATACCAAAATCAGACTAAGACACTACAAGAAAACTACAGACCAATAGAGCATATGAATGAGCATCCTCAACAAAATACTAGCACACTGAATCTAACAATGTAACTAGGATTTATTCCAGAAATGTAAGTGTAGTTCAACATTAGAAAATGCACCACTGTAAGACCACATTACTAAAGGAAAATAAACTATCGTCATCTCAATGTAGAAAGGCATTTGATAAAATCCAACACCCTTCATGAGGAAAACTCTTCAACAAGCCAGGAATAGAGGGAAATTAACATGATAAAGGGCACTTATGAAAATCCCACAGAGAATAACAGTCAATGGAGAAAGACTGAAACATTTCCCTTTAAGATCAGAACAAGTCGAGGATGCCTGCTCTCCCCACCAGTACACAATATTACTGGAAGTACTACGTAGAGTAATAAGGGAAGAAAATATGAGTGATAGTAAATCATGGAAGAAGTAAAATGATTCCTATTCACAAATGACATCTAAACCCAAAGAATCCATAAGAAAGTTACAAGGAGTAATGACTTCAGCAAAGTTCCAGGGTACAAGGCAACAAAAATATTGGTTGGGTTTTATATATCAGCAGTGAGCAATCTGAAAAGGAAATTAAAGAAAAATCCCTTTTACAATAACATCTTGAATAAAATGCCTAGGGATAAATTTAACCAAGGAGGTGAAAGATTTGTACACAAATAACATACCGAAAAGAACACACATGAGGGACTGGCAGTGCACGTGGGTGGATCCGTAAAGCTGTCAATCCTATGCAAGGGATCACTGTCAGCCCTACACCTTTGTAGAAATGAAAGGACCTCCAATTGCATGCACTTTGCGAAGAACTTGGAAGAGCCAGAAGTGACGGTACAAAGAAGAACAGAGATCGTCCCCACAGCAAACACACGATGAACATACACAGACATCTAAACGGTCTGAGACCAATACAATGGCAGGCACGAGTCCAGAAATAAGCCCACACGTCTATGACTGCTTTTTGCCCAAGGTGCTAACTGCATTCACTGGGCTAGGTCTCCTCTCCGAAATGAATGGTGCTGGGACAACTGGCTCTCCACGTACAAAAGAGTGAAAGTGGTTTCATGCCTCACATACACAAAAATCTACCAAGACCTCAGTTAACTAAGACAACTGCAACGTGGATCCAATACCTAAATGTAAGAACTAAAATCATTACACTCTTAGAAAAAATTAAAATGATGCCGGAGCACTTAGTTTTGTCGTTGTTTTGAAGCACTTGGTTTTTGACGGGATTTTTAGAATGACACCAAAAGCATAAGTAACAAAAGATAGTAAATAAATTTTATCCAAATTAAAATTTTCTGTGTATCATGGGATTGTATCAACAAAGTGAAGAAACAAGCTACAAAAGGGGGGGAAATTTGGTAAGTATACGTCTTATAAAGGTTTAAGTTCATAAAAACCACTCCTACAACTGAGCAACCACAAAAGACAACCCATTTAAGAGTGGCTCTAGGACCTAACCAGACATTTCACCAAAGAAGATACTCACACAAATGCTTAACTAGTCATTGTGGAAACGCAAATCAAACCACAGCGTGTTACCACTTCGAACCCTCTAGGATGACTATCATCTGAAAAATGGAAAATAACAAGTGTTGGTGAGAATGTGGGAAAATTGGAATGGCTAGCCATTGGTTTTAAAATGGTGCAACCATCGTAGAAAACAGTTTGGTGTCTGCCCAAAAAGTTAAATAGAAATACCATTTGACCCAGCATTCAACTCCCAGGTGCATATTTAAAAGACCTAAAGCAGAGACCTTGTACAGCAATGTCCGCTGCAGCTCTATTCACCATAGTCAAAAAGTCGTAGCAACTTACGTGCCCATCAACAGATGAATAAATAAAAACAATGCAGTATATACAGACAATGAAATATTACTCAAAGACACAGGAAGTTCCGGCAGATGCTGTGATACAGACGAAACTTGTAAACATGTTGAAAGAAACATGAAACAAAAAAGGACAAATATTGTATGATTCCACTTAGACCAAAGATCCACACGTGACACAGAAAGAGCGAATCTTAATGATTACCAGAAGCAGGGAGTCGGAGGGCAGGAGGAAGCATTGCTTATAAGGTACCGAGTCTCTAGATGGTGATGGAACTGAAAATGAGTAGTGTTGACATTTGTGCAGTGTGGGTAATGTCATTGAATTGTATGCATATAAATGGTTGAAATTCTCTCTCTCTCTCTCTCTCTCTCTCTCTCTCTCTCTCTCT